ACATGAAATACACGCACAGGCTGTGCCTAGACTCAGAGCTGCTAATGGCTCTCAGGCCACAGGAAACTAGGATGATAAAGATGATGTTCACCTCAGAGCTGGCAAAATTAGTAGAGTTCCTTCTCTTTAAAAACACTTTCTCAGGAAAAGGTCCAACTTGCCTTCTTACATTGTGGTTTTGGTTTTGTTTTGTTTTATTTTTTTTCCATAGTTCACAAGAAACCACTTCAGGAAGTGGAAATTGCTGCCATCACCCACGGTGCCTTGCAGGGGCTGGCCTACCTGCACTCTCACTGTAAGATTCATAGGTAAGGCTGGAGCTCAGTGCTGCTAGATGTCCTTCCATCTTCTGCTATCTGGAGTCTGAAAATTACTTTGCTGTCTTTAAGCAGCTTTGGTAAAGGCTCTTCTGCCAAAATTTTCTCTAATGGACACGTCCATACCCCTAATGCTGGGGTAGATGTGTAAATAAAAGCTGTTGGCTGTTCAGGAGTACATTCTTCTTTTTTTTGGTTGAAATAATTTAATGTGGCTACATGCTGTGCTGAATTCTCTTCCATGTTAGCAGTTTTTCTCTGCGGAACCTGATAACAAAGAATATACCTGAATGTTAGCAGTAAACCCTGACAGGAGTCTATCACCCTAAATTTTTCAAATAAAGTGGAGTGAGAGAGCTAAACTGTTTTTAAGGCAAGACATTTGTGAGAATTTTTTACATATGAGTAAGTAAAACTTTATGCTTTCAGATATCAGTGGGTGAAAGCATAAGTCAAGGATAAAACTACTTAGGAGAAATCAGAGCACACAGGCAGAGTAAGATTTTTATAGCAAGCTGCTCATGGATGCAGCTCCTAGATCTGTGTTTCATAATGTGACATTTTTCAGGAGTTCGGATTTTTTTGACTCATTTGTCAACAATGTTGCATGTTCTCATTTTATGGTTTTTTTTGTCTAATTTTGGGTACTGCTGATATGTCAGGGACTTGTGAAATGAATGAGTGTAATGTGAGTGGGGAGTCATCAGAATGAGGCAACTTGAGACTAATACTTATGGGGCTAAAAGCCTTTTTGTAGTTTATGGCAAGCTCGAGACAAAATTAGTGTATCTGAGGCTGACAGTGAGGGGTTTTTACAAAGACAGGAATTATTTGTCACTTGTTAGGGTAACTATTTGGGGCATATCTACATATGGTTATTAAATAATAAGTGAAATATTAATTTAAACATGAATGCAAATTTATGAAATTAAAATAAGAGTATTCTTGACCTTCTGTTTGCATATATGCCCTTATTTGAGCATAAAAAATCTGTTCTGAAATATTTTACATGCTTGCAAAGTACTTTGAATTCTTATTTATAGTAAATGACTCCCTGTTTGATACGATTGAGAATTAGTTTTTCTCGATGCTCATTAGGAGTTTCTAACATGGCGCAATTAGTGTTGTAAATTCAGGGATGTCACATAGTGAATATTAGCTATTCTGGGTGAACTTTCCCTTAACGTGCTCACTGCATGTCAAGAACAACATTGGTTATTTCTCTTTCAAACTGGGAGAAGTTACTTTGCTGTTGCAGCTGAGAGTGGCCATGAGGAAGGTTACTGCTGGGAGTACCACGCAGGTCTTTCACAGCATCACACACAGAATTGCCTTGATTGGAAAAGACCTTTATGATCCAGTCCAGTCATTAACCTCACACTGACAAGTCCTCCACTAAACCTATCTAGCTAGTTTTCTTCCAAGAGGTATTCTGCCTTTTACCTTCTAAGATGGGAAGGCAAATCTCCTCTCTCAGGAAAGAGAAACATCAAGAGATTTCTAGTTTTCTGATAGATGTTTCTTAAAAAAGGAGAGGCAGAAGAGTGCCATTTCCTAGCTTCACTGTTTGGCAATGAGGAGTGCAGTGCTGGTGTGCACAGCTATGGGGGATCTGTGTACTTGGAGGAAGACACTGTGCTCACCTCTGCTGTGGCAAGTTCCAGTAGCACTGAGAAAAGTAAAGCAATCACTGAATGAGAAGGGCCCAAAGCTGGCAGGTGGGACCCCACAACAAGGCAGGCAAAGCGAGGTGACCTGGAATGGAGGGACACCTTGTGGAGATGCAGGAAGAAAGCAAGTCGCTCATCTCACCTCCTGAGCTCCCTCAGCAGCTCTGCTACCAGTTAGTTCTCATGTCACACTATGGGGTGGCAAAGGCTGAGATTGTTTTCTGTTTAATTGCAGGCAAAAGGCAAACCACAGTTAGCAAATATGTTTGCTGAGACCTAACGTGGCTGCTGAGTCCTCTGATTGTTGTACAGTGAAGGTAGCAGTGGAGATGATAGCAGAGAGGACAACTTGTGCTGTCCTTTGTACTTTGGAGGTGTTAACTCTTGAACATACACGTCATTTTTAGCACTTGTCCTCCAGATGCAGAGAGCCAAATCATGATGACATGGTAGGACATGTTTCTGAGTAGCAGATGTGTGAAAAATTCCATAGTACTAGTTTAGCAGCAGTACTGTCCTGGGAATGGGGGAATAGAGAGGGTCTGTCTCCAGCTCTGCTGCTGAAATACTGTAAGTAAATTCCTGTCTCTTTGGCTCTCTTTATCCTAGCTTTGCCTATCCTGTGTGCTGCCCTTTGGAGGCAAAGGTGTCTCATCAGTGTTTATATCACACTAAATTTAAAGGGACTTTCAGCTTGCCTCTTCTCTGGGTCTACAGTGATGCTGGATTTGTATTTCATGCATAGATCATTGTGCTTCAGCTGTTGTGTGACAACTCGGTGTGTGCTGTTCCTCTGCAGCAAATACAAGATAACTTTGTTTCTCCTCCCATTTATCTAATTAGCTTGGTTTTCACAGGATCAGAGTATGAGCATGTTTGACAGTACTCAGTAACTTGTTTTGTGTTGGAGGTCTACTGCTACTGAGAAGAGGTTTTGATGTTTAAGGATTTATAGTTGAACACTAGATAAGAAAAGCTGATACATTTCTTGATTGTTTTTCATATAAAGATGTATGATATTTTTGAAAAGATGGCAAAGAGTCATTCCAGACTGTGGTGTATGCAGCCTGGCTGACAGGGATCCCTTACACATATTCCATTTATATTGAGGGTCTACTTCTGCAAAAGCAAGTAGCTGAGATGGTGCCATGTAAAGGTATCTCTGGCATACCCAGTGGGCAATTTTTCCTTTCTTATTGAAGTGCTTTATCAGGGTTTTAAGGAATTTTCACTATATTGTGATTTTTTCAGCTGGCAATGTGTAAGTAGACCTGAATTTCTTAAAGCAATCCTCCTTCCTTTATATCAGATGGGTGGAAGAAAAAAAAATACTTCAGGTATAATGGACAAGTCTGCAGAAATCCCAGGTATTAGAAGTAAATGGTGCTTAGGTGAGTTCATCCCTAACTTTGAATAGGGTCATTGCCAAGTGTCTTGCAAGGTATGCAAATTGAGTTAACCTTTCTCAGCATTTCATGGGTAATTAATTTGAAATTAACCCACTTAGTACTGAATTTAGAACGTTTTTATGAACGTTTAATTGAGAAAAAGTTAATGGACTTCTGTGTGTTCGTAAATTTTTGAAAGTTACTGTGTTGTAACCAGAAGTAAACTTTTCTTTTGTTCTTTTAAAGGGATATTAAAGCTGGAAATATTCTTCTAACAGAACCAGGTCAAGTGAAACTAGCTGACTTTGGGTCTGCATCTATAGTCTCCCCTGCCAATTCTTTTGTGGGAACGCCTTACTGGTGAGTAAAACCTGCAACACTTTGGTCCTTTAACAAGACTGCTCTCTTCCATTTCCAGGGTTTCACAATCTGAAAATGCTATCTGACATAAAAACTTGATTAACCAAGCATTCTTCTTAAAATCCCTGTGTCCAGCTCTTCAGGAAACAGCCTCTTTCTCAGTGCCCATGAGTAGAGGCAGGCTGTGCAGCACTTTGAAATGGCACCAGTTAATATTTTGATTGTTGTAATGCCATTGGTTTAAAACTTATTAACACTTGCCATAGGTAATGGAACAAAGATAACCACATGGAGAAAGGCAGTCCTGTTAATCTGACCATGCAGACTGGAAGTCACACAGCTACTTAAATTCTGTTTTGAAGAAACTTGCTTAAGGGTCACTTGAGCTGTTTGGCATTCCCAACACAGTGGACCAGCTTTATGCTCCACTTATTTTGTGGCAGACGCCCCAGGCACTGATGGGCGGTCGCCTATCGCCCAACCTCTGAACAAGTCCATTTGGCATGAAGCCTGCTTCATCTTTGAAGAACAAAAGTTAAGAGGCTGAATTTTTGCAGGCTGGGCCTGCTGCTTCTTTCCCCCACCCCGACTCGTTCCTCTGTCCTGACCCACCGTATTTCCCCACTGGTCCAGGTTTCCCTGTTCCTTTCATAGCTACGCTCACAGGCTGCATATATCTACTGGAAAATTCTCCTGGTGTGTCAGTGGAAAACCCACCATTTCTGGTGAGAGTGAAAGTGATGCCTTTAGGACTCTTCCAGCCCTTGCTGTCTGCTTCAGGTACAATGCCTTTGAGATTGGTGTGGGTCTGCCATGTCCCAGCATGTTGTGTTAACAGTAAGATGATCAGGTTGGCCTCTCACTTTCCTTTCTTAAACTGCCTCTTGGAAGAGTTCCTAGTGCAGGCAAGCATTGTTTCATTTCAGCATGGCTTTACTCAGTTCCATGCTGGCTCTTTAAGTTCTGGTCCTTTGCACTGCTGAAGATAACAAAGCCATCTCATTTTAAGCTGTGTGCTGGGAGTCACGGTTTGTATCCCCTAACCCTCGTGTTTTGCACTGTGGTTGGTAGGATGGCACCAGAGGTGATCCTTGCTATGGACGAGGGACAGTACGATGGAAAGGTGGATGTCTGGTCCCTTGGGATCACGTGTATTGAGTTAGGTGAGTAAATACTTGGTAACTGAGATGAATAATTAACTCTCTGCAACATTTATTAGGAAGTCCTGAAAAAAAAAATGGAAGATTCTTATTCCTCATAAGTGTGTTGGTTTTGTTTTTTTTCTTTAAAAAGCCTGACTTGGAAAGCACTCACAGTTGAGTTAAATCTTTTACTCACTGGCAAATCAAGAGCAAGCCACTAGTGCTGCTGTGCTTTAATGTTAATGTGGTGTGCTCAGTTACTCCCTTAGTAACTAGAGAATTCTAGTCTTGTTGGAGAAGAACCTGTAATTTGTTGACTGTATTTTTAAAGCTGGGTTTTGAGAAAGTTGTTCCAGCTATTATGTCAAGGGAACTGGTGTCCTAAGAACTGTGTCTGAAAGAACCTACATTTAATTTTCAATTCTTCTTACTTCTTCACTCTCTGAAACAAAAATCTTCAATCTCAACTGAAAGTTTGTGGCATGAATCAACATGGACAGGTTCTTTACATGAGAAGAAAAGGGTTTGCATTGCAAAGGGCAAATGATACACGTCCACACAACCTGAAGCAGATGTAGGTGTGACAGCAGGTATACAGAGCAGATGTGTGTACTTTAAGTTTGAACATTGACATTGCATGTGCTGACTAGATTATTTTCAAAGATACTCTTGATATGGATTATACTTACCTTAACAGCAGTACATCAAGAACTGATTGTGAGGGCACATTCACTGAAAATGATATCTATAAATGTTTAATCAGCAGAAATATATATGAGATAACAAAGAGCGGGATGTACAGAAGGACTCTGATACGGAGATAGTAATGGTGTAAACGACTAGTAACTTCCAGTGTTGTATTACATGTGTTACTGCTAATGCCTTGCTGACACAGGCTGTATTTTGATACAAAGAATGCAAAAATTGGAAGTTCTAGACATATATTCTTCCACGTGGCCACTGATTTTTGTTTTGTTTTGTTTTTGTGGAGTTTAGTTACGACCCCTCAAGGAGTAAATCACAGTGGTATAATAGATATGCTGTGCTACCCTATGTAGGCACTGAGTCTTGATACTGGAATTTCTATGGAGCTTTTCAGTCAAGAACTTCAAAGCCACTTTGCATAGTTGATGGGTTTGCTTTTCTTAATATTACCTTTTTGAGAAGTATTAAACTTTGCATTTGCATGATTCCTTATCTGAACATGGGGTCAGGTAGCAGTGGGAGGAAATCCCTTGTTGATTTCCTGGTTGGCTTTCTTTGAATGCTGATGTCTTAATTTGTTGCGTAGCCGAAAGTAAGTGATCTTTAAAGAAAAGAAAATGGGGTGGTTTGCGTGCATGCTGCATGTCAAGGACAAGTGATTGCTCTGACCTGACATGAACTTAAAAATCCTGGCATCATGGACTGATTGGCATGACTGACCTCAGATGGAGGTGAAAACTAGCCTTCCTCAATTTGTGTGTGAGATCTGCTGCACTCCGAAAGGTCAGGCTGGTAGGTAGGTGTCCTCTGAGTGCAAGGACTAGTTAAGGGGAGTTAACAAGACACCTAGTAAGTGAATTTGGCAAACTGTCACACTTGCAGGTGACTGGCAATGACCAATGAAGCAGGCAGCTACTCTTTCATTAATACAGATGCTATGTCAGTGCATCAAAGATCTGTAGGGTTCATACATAAATTTCCTAGCCCTGACATGCTGTGTATTGAAGCTCTGTTTTAGTCACCTCCTGCTGATTTTAGCCTAGCACACTGGGTATGAAACATTGCAGTTAAGGTAAAATTTACTGGAAACTTTTCCTTTTAATTTGCATCCTGTTCTCTTTGGATTTTGTTATCCCCTCTTCAAGTGAATAACAGCTTTCCTTGAGTGGTTGTCCTGATCTAACCTAGAATGTTAAAATAATTAGCTTAAATATGATGATGACAATAATGAGCTATTGATTCAGCAGCAATACCCTGCTCATACTTCCATATCTTTCTCCTTTTCTTTCCAGACTGCCTTATCACACCTTTCTCTTCTCTTTCTAGCTGAAAGGAAGCCTCCACTTTTCAACATGAATGCAATGAGTGCCTTATATCACATAGCCCAGAATGATTCCCCTACGTTACAGTCAAATGAATGGTAAGAGAGCTATTACCAGATTTTTTTTGTTTGTTTTCTTTTGCTGAAAATGCTCTGCCACATTCTGCATGGTTAAAATCTGACCAGAAAAGTGTTTGTTGCAGTGTAGAGATTTATCTGCATTCTCAAATAATGCTCCTGTGTAGGCAGGCTCAGTTTTGACCTTTGGTCACTTTGGCTGTGCTCCAATCTAAATGTATGGAGGTGTTAATTATGGGGCTGTAGATGCTCTAGGAATTAAAATATTCTTGGATGTATTAAGCCAGACATAGCTCAGCATCAGCAAAGTTTCCAGCTGCAAAAGATCTCTGACAGGAGAATTGTTAGTGTAGTAGTGCAGCTGAAGTGTGGAGAAAGAATGGGGAGAGGTGCACAGAATACAGAGGTAATTAGATTTAAATTTTTTTCAGTGAGTGACTTCAAAAGTCATCAGAACTCTGTGGCCAGTAAATACTCCCCATGCAGCAGGCATATTCCAGAACCTGAGCTTTGATACAAGAATGCTTTGTTATTCTGTGGGGGCAGAGGGGTTACCCTGTTTCCTGTTCTCTGTGCCCAAGAGTGAAACGTAGCCATGGAGTAATGCTTGGCAGAGTCTGCAGATGGCTTGAAACAATAGCTCCTGGAGAGGTTACACTGCTAGGCATTTATGTAGCAGAACTGTTTCATTGCTGATCACTTTATCAAGAACACTCCACGAGTTTCCTTATTTCATCATCTCTGTCCATTTTTCAAGATTGAAGTAACTTGGTCTTGTATCTGCACACTGACATCCATGTTCTTCCCTGCAGAATTTACAGTGCAGAGTAGAGACAACTTGTGACCACAGTATAAGAGTCAGTATTCTTGATGGGAAGAAGTTTGTTTCTAAAGACCTGTTTGCTCTCTGTGGCTCTGAGAACACAAGGAGTGAGCAAGGTGCCTTTTATGCTGCTTTTGACTTCAATGGTCCCTAGAAGATCAGTTTTCTTTCTAGTTGTGCTCCAAGCACATACAGCCTTAAGTTTTGTTGAACTGAGCATTGTATCGAGGTGCCGTACTGAGTCAGTGTTATAAATGGTGGGAAGCCTCTAGAGAGCAATTTCATCATTAGAATGCATTTCTGGATTTACCAATAACTTCACTGTCATTTATTTTTAAGTAGTTGGAGTAAAATTGAAAATAGTGACTGGTGCACATAGTTCTTGCTTGGTTTTCAATTTGTGGTTGGGGATAATTGTGTGTCTATGTTTGTTTCCACAGTCTTCAACTATTGAAAGAACTGGTGGGATCATCTTGCTCAGAATTTGGAAAAGTCCAGTTAATTTCTCTGCCCTAGAATTTAAGAAAGAATTAGTCAAAGTTTTTCTTCTGCTTTGCATTTATAAGTCCATATTTATTCCAGATCTTAAGCTTCTTTTTTCATTCAGAACTTTTTTTTTTTTTACTTTACAGGTCAGACTCCTTTAGGGGATTTGTTGATTACTGCTTACAGAAAATACCTCAGGAAAGGCCATCATCAACAGATCTGTTACGGGTAATTTTCTTTTCCAGAAATTTGGGAAAAACCTGTTTGTCTACCAAACTCATTCTAAAGATGATGAACAAATATTTGCTGTTTGAAAAAAAAAAAAAAAGTTGGTTTTGTTTTCGTCTGAATCAATGAGAGTTTTGGGGTCTTCTAAAGAGTATTTTAGGCTGTTGAACTTTGTTTCTCAACTTTGCCTGTTGTGTCAATCACCATTATCACAGAATCACAGAATGTTAGGGATTGGAAGGAACCTCAAAAGATCATCTAGTCCAATCCCCCTGATGCTCAAGAGTCACACTACTGGAGCAGAGAGAGGCTGTTTGGTAAAACCAGTTACACTGTTGAGTGAGGAATTATTTGGGGGAGCAGCCCAGCACCTTGCTCCTCTTACACCCCAGAGGTCTGCAGAGCTTCCATTTGTGTTAGAGAACTTGCAAGCCTCATGAGAATAGTAGTGTGAGGTTTTTTTTAGCTGAAGGAAGGACCTGTCAACAGGAGGGGGCTAGCAGTGTGAGGTATTTTTTTAGCTGAAGGAAGGAAGGACCTGTCAACAGGAGGGGGCTAGAATAATTTAATCTTGATTTTTATTTTCTTAATACTTTTTTTTTCCCCAAGACAGTGCTCTACATACTTTAACTGAAAGTATTAGCAAGGGCAAACAGGTCCAGAGCTAGGTTAGTTACATCTGTGCTGCAGAAGTGAATTCCAAGCAGTGTAGACAGGACTTAGGAGCATGTTTCCTGCTGCTTTGATGAAGAAGGAATTTCTCTAGCTTCTCTGCTGTACTGTGCTGTCAGTAGGGTGCTCTGAGTTGTGACCATGTTGTACTATGTGGTCTCTGAAAGAGCAGACAGAAATAAGGGAGGAAAATGGAGCCAACCGTGTTCTCCCTCTAAATGGAGGCAGAGGGAGTGGGGAAACTATGACTTGGTGCAACCTGTGTGAAAGTGAAGATCTTTTTTGGAACAGTTGTACACTTTTTGTAAAGTAATGTAACTTAACTTGCTGATGCTCCTTTTTTTTTTCCTGCTTACCTTCTTCAGTAAGGAAAAAATATTATTTTTCTGTTGTGTAAAGGCCATTACTTGCTACTAAGCTTTTATATAATTTCAGTAAGATTTAAGGCTTGCAATTTGCTACAGACTTGCTCTGTGGAAGTAATGGAAAAATCTAAAAAGTAATTTTAATTGCTACTCAAAATCTAGACCTAACCAGTCTTCAGAAGATGCATAGGCAATAGCAAATCTTTTGCAGAGCTGGTAGTACTTTGAGAATTATACTCCACATGATCAGAGGATTGAGCTCTTAATAAAGATTTACAGATAGTGACTGATTATTTAAAGGAACATGGGTATTAGAGATGGAAAGAGACTGGATGACCTACGTTTATCTCCTGGTCAGAGCAGGGTTGTTCTGTGTGGGGTGCTCTGACCTGTCCTGTCTTGTCTTTTTTTGACAGATGCAGATGAAGTTCAGGAAGGTTATCTTGACCTTTTTTCTCTAGTAATGCTAATGTGAGCATAATTAATTCTTTATCTGCTCATACCTTTTGAATATGTATCTTTTCATGATCTTTCTGCCTGATCTTAGTTCAGCTCTTGATTTTGCTCTGTTCTTGTAAATCATTCATTTCTGATCCACTTTTTGTATGTTGGGGTGTTTTTTTGTCTGAAGTTCCTCAGGCTGGCTGGGTGTTTCTGGCACTTATATAAATACCATGAAACGTTACTCCAGGTGTGGTTTTGTGGGAGCTCAGAAAGGTTGGCTCTACTCTGCTCTGTGGTGTTACAATAGGAGGTTTCAATGCTGTGCTCTTTTGGCTGCTGTCTGATGCAGAAGTCCTGAGAAATATACTGATTAGTGTCAACTGTAGATCCCTCCTCATATTATTACTTACAAAACATACTTTCCATCTTTTTTTTAATTATGTGTTTCCAGATATCACTTTTTTTTCCCAACTTCTCTCTCTAGTTGTGCAGTGTTGTATTTTATCCATGTTTCTGACCTCCATTTTCCAATCATTTCTTTGTCCTGGATGGGCTTTGAGCAATTCCTCTTGATTCATTAACATCTTCTAACATGTTTGCTTCTTTTCTATTTTCATGCATCATACTTAGCTGTTAAAAGTAGCACTAACAGGATGGGCATAGGTGAACTTCTTCCCCTAATCAAACCACCAAAACCAGAAGTTGGTTATGTGCCTTTAATGATTTCTATACTGAACCCAGTTAATTAGAATTTGTTTTGGAAATGACTGTATCATTTTGGAAAATGCCTTGTTACAGGTTCATAATTGCCAAGAGCATGTAGGAGGGAGACCTGTGTTGGGAGTGATGTGTCCAGAGTTTGCCAGAGTTTTGTCAGTGAATCATAAATCAGTTCCAGTTTAAGTCATTGGATTTCAGTTTACCTGAGAAGTATAGGAACTGTTTATAACTCCAAGGGCTTTGTGTTTGGGAAATTCAGGAGCAGCTTTCCGTTAGAAGGTAGGGATGTGTGAAATCCTGTCCAGCCCCTTTTCCATCAGGCTTTTTTTTAAGTATTTCCTTTCTTTAAAATTGATTAGTGGCCCTGCTATTCTTCTGGTTGCCGTACATAGCTGCTGGTGAGAATTGCATGGCATGCTGCTTTTCCACGCCAGGTAAACAGGACTCAGCTTTTCCTTAAATATCTGGGCAGAGGAATTACTAGCTCCATTGGGTGCTTTGCTTAATTTCCACAGTAGGTTAGATTGCTGCTCTGTGTCTACCTGACAGCCTTTTCGTGCTGATTTTTTTTTTGTTCTAAGGCTACCATTCAGCCTTTGTTTTATGGCTTCTCTTGTTGCTCTTTCAGCTCAGTAAAATGCTTTCGCATGGATGTTTCTGAGCCTCTTGGTTCTTGAAGAGAGAGATCGAAACCCTGCGCTCTTTACTGAACAGATAGCTTTGCGCTCGCTTCTCTTCTTGCTTTAAGCCTGGACCATATAGAATATTTAACCCTCATGCCTTCACTCTCCAGGTGAAGGCTGATGAACAAGCTTGTTTTTACTCTTTCTTCAGTGCCTGGTATATTTTTATTATTTTTCCCTGCGATACATTTGTGCTGTGGCACATAATCAGCGTTTTGTTCTCTGGTTCTGCTTGCAGCACCCTGACAATCCTCTGACCAGCTAATAGGTTTATGTTGTGGGTTTCAGAATGATTCATTCATGTGGATTGGCAGCCTTTCTGCTCTCTAGGAATAGTGTAAGTTCACTGAAGGGTATGATTTCAGGAGTACCTTAGGTTGGAGTCTGTGCAAACAGTTGGAGCTGAGATCTTATTCTGAAGTTGTGTCTATTCAGTCTTTTTATTTGGTTTTTGACTTTCAGAACAGTACCCTAGATGTTCCCTCCTGGGGTAGCTCTCCCTAAAGCTTGTTAGATTATAAGATTGAAGATCTTTGTCTTTTGAGGGTTTTTAACTTGTGTACAGTGAACAGGGCTAGAGTAGATTTTTTTTGTGGCCACATTTTCTTAGAGAACTGAATTTTAAATGATGTGTTTGAGGAATAATTCAATTCTCATTCATTATCCCAGATAAAAATAGTCAAATGACTATTTCATTTGCAGTTCAAATTTAAAATAATTAAAAAAAAATCTAAAACCTCCAAAACTCTCAGTAATTTTTCCCTTTTCAAATTAAAAGCAATTATAAAAATTGTTTAAAATATTTTTTCCTGTTTTTCTCAGCTTGCATGACATTGCCAGGGGACTTGAGTCCTGTTAAGTCACTATTCCAGCCAACTTGGTACAACTCTTCCTCCCTTTGAGTCCATTTTGGTTTTGTTGTTTGTTTGTTTTCTTGCAATTTGGAGAAAGTAGACAAATGAAGTCCTTTCAGCTGTCATTTCTTAGAGTTGGGCAGTACCTAGCAGAGAGGTGCCTGCATCTTTTCTGTGCCGTGTCAACAATTAGATAATGCAAATGAGAAGTCAGAATTGTATTATTGTTACACAAGAGCCTTTTGATTCTCACTTGTCTGCATCTGCCCATCAGCTTCCATGTGGGCTCATTCTGATGTTTGAGTAGTGCTTGAATATGAAGCACATAGTCTTTCCAGTGAAATGAATATTTGCACTGCTAAAGAAGTAGACAATGAAGGTATAGGATGGATTTAAGTTCAGAATCATTGTTCCAAATGTATTACTGCTTTCTAAAAATTATCTACAATGAGATAAAAAAGGTTACCTTTTTTTCTAACCATAGGTAAGCTGCAGATTGCTGCTGTTTACAGAGAAATGAATGGTGGTTATCTGCATTGAGGAGCAGAAATGACTCATTTTGCTTCTCTATGAAATGATATTTAGAACTTCTAGCTATAATTCAAAAATAAACACCATCACTACTAGCAAAAAAATTGATGGTGAAATGACTAGCCGTCCCCATTAGCAAAACTCAAATGCACAACAGTTTGAATTCAATTAAAAACAATAAATAAGCCTGTGGCATGATACTGTCCATGTTTATTTACAAACTATTAAAAGAAGATCAGCTCATCCTTTCTGTGTGTCAGACTCCTGTTTGAGGACTGGGTTTCGTGTATTGGTTACTCCAGCACAGCTGGATGTGTTAGTTCTTGAACTTAAGGAATAGCAACACATCTAGAGTAGAGATGCTTTTTCCTGTCCGATGGGACCTTGAGTCCACCAGGTGTGGAAAGAGCTGTGAGGCCACATGGGCAGAGGTGACCTTCCTGAGTTTCTTTGCAGGTGGGGTCCAGCTGCTGAGGCTCTCTGACAAAAGGCCATTGTGGCACTTCCAACACAGGGTAGAGAACAACTTTTTTTTTTTCCCCATTGTCTTTTTCATTGTTAATGTTTCTAGAAGTGTGCAGAAGATGTTTGCCATCTCCTGTGATACAGATTAAGTGACATACCCAACCGTACCATCTCAAGCCATCTCCTGTGATACAGATTAAGTGACATACCCAACCATAGTGATTCCATGTAGAATTTTGTCACGTATGTACTCAAACTGTCTACTTTGGTTGAAGGTTAAATGGGAAAGCTGCAAGGCTTTCATGTTCTGCTGCCAGTTGTGTGGTTCAGAAGAACGTATCTGATAAATCAGAGAAGAGCCTGTAATCATGTACTTAAATTCCATTGAAGAATTTATTTTTAAGTCTGCACTTAAAACCTGTGCTTCTGGTACATCCTTAGCAGGAGTTGGTAAGAACATGATTTTACTATAAATGGCTACAACAAATGCTTTAAGTATAAATAAACCTCGCAGTGGTCTTACTGGTTTTATGTATGGATCAGAAGAGATAGATGCGGGATAAACCTTTGCACGTAGCTTAGGCAGGTGATCTTGCGTAATCAGGATTGATTCTTCTTTGTCCTTTATGCATTTTGTTCATTTATAAAGTCTTATGCCTTTGGTTTGAAGTGACACTGTCTTGTACCTGATGCACATGAAGAGAACGAGCTTGGGAAGTGACAAATTAGCTGTGTTGCCTGGAGAGCTCAGATGATCTGATCCCATTCCAAACTGCTTCACTTCAAACAGAAAAGAGAATCAGGGAGCCAGGGCTAAAGAGAGCTTGTGAAGGGTCAGCCAGGTCTCACACCTCTCCACCCACTACTCAGCTTCCCCTGCTACTGATGTGCATGTGTACACACACACACACACACACACACACACACACACACACACACGTGAGTTTTGAGTAGCAAAGTGATTTTTACCTCGCTTCTCTCCACTCAACATTTAATTGGGTTCTGTGCTTAAGTAGATCTTGTGAACGAAGCGTTTTGCTGCCTGCGCTTCAAAACTCGTAGTGCATATCCTGATCAGGTTAGTTACTCGTTGTAGTGATGAGCACAGTCAGTGTATTCAGAGCTGAATGTTTGGAGACTTTCATAACAGGTATTGCTAATTATTGAATAGGCACAGACCAGTTACTGAATATGAACTGTAATTTTGAGCATCTCTTTAAAAAAAAAAGTCACTGTGTCACCGTGTCCCTGTTTTTACATCAAACACACTAGTGGCATGTCTGAAACTGTGTTTTATTTCCTTTAATTTAGCATGACTTTGTACGCCGGGATCGACCACCAAGGGTACTAATAGACCTCATACAAAGGACAAAAGATGCAGTACGTGAATTGGATAACCTCCAGTACCGGAAAATGAAGAAAATCCTTTTCCAAGAGACACGGAATGGCCCACTGACCGAGTCTCAAGAAGAGGAGGAGGTACTTTTATTTTGCTGCCCCATTTGCACTGTTATAAACAATTTTAGGGCAAGTGAGATGTTCCCCCCCCTTGCTTAAGGGGGCAGAACAAGCACAGCCTAGGCGAGAATACAATCCATGTTGTTGGAATATCATCTGGATCAGCAGAGCTACAGGAGGATAATGAGTGATAGGAGCCTTTTCTTGGTCTTAGATGTGCATTTATTGGCAACTTTCAAACTCTGGGTTTTTTCAGATGGTGGCCTTTCTTCTGAAAGCTTTAGGGAAAAATCTCTTTTGGAGGGAGATTCTCTGTGAGAAGAAAGTGGCTCGCAGCCTGTGTGAAGGACGGTCTGTCGACAGTCCAGGCTTTTCAGTCTCAGAAGCACAGTCAAGACCACTTGAATAAAAGGGATATTTTTTCAATTACCATAACTTTATTGTAAAGTAATTGGCCTATCATGAGCTGAAAAGCAGATCACCAAATTAGTAAGACTTATTTTAAAAAAATTCTTTAATTAATTTAATTAAAGAAAAAAAAAGATTAAAGACATAAAATTCAGCTTCAGTTTAAATCTCATAATAAACAATCGGTGTATGATAATTGACACTGTGGCTTAAAGATGGAAACTAGTCATTTTTCAATCGATGAGATTAGATGGAAATTAATAGAATTTGGTGCAGGCCCACTGGATAAATAAATCCATGACTGGTTCTCAACAATAAAAAATTGACAGGCAAATTGATGTTTGTATTCCCTTCTGCTGCGGTATAGCGAGGTAATATGCAGTGGGATGCCCAAGCTCAGCATATATTCAGGGATTTGGTTTTGAGGTTTGTGTATGCCAGATGTTCCTTTAAGGCTAAATTAAAGCTCTGGTTTAAGGAATGGATGAGCCTGGGTGTCAGGTAGGGGAGGAAACAGAAGGAGGGGACTGGCTCTTAGCACTCTCCTCACATGGAAGGAGATGCACAGAAGGAGAAAGAACAGCAACCACTGTGATTACATCTACGAAGTGCTTCTGTTCTAGCCCTCCAGCTACCCAACTTCTATACCTTGAGCTTAGTTGTTGGGCCGGGGAGAGGGGGAATTTGTCAGACTTTGCACTGAAACTTTCAGGCTTTACCTCTGTGAAAAGTTTTTAGGAGAGTGGCAGAATAGGAAAGCACAAGGGATTGTGTTTCCCACTTGACTGTTCATCAGATCCAACCTCAGCAGCTAAGTGGGATACACGTAGTAGTAGTTGACTCCAAGGTGTAACTTCTGATCCTCCTGTCCCCACCTCTCAAAAAGGGGGAAGTGAAGAGATTGTATCTCTAGGAATTAACAGTCTAATGAAGCTCACCCTCTGCATGTGCACAGCATGCTCTGCACTGTTTTACCACTGAGCTCGTGTACCACGAAAGGAGGTTGTATTGCTTGTGTGTGTCACTAACTTGGCAGTGAAAGGAAAACACAGCACTTGCTTCAGTTACTAAAGTGGTTAACAGAAGCTGCTCAACTGTAAATGCCACAAGACAGTTTCTTTTCCTACCTCAGACTTTCTAAGGTGGAAAAGGAGAGTTACAAATCTTTAACACTCAAAATACTACTAATGCTTTCCTCGGAGCTCTTGCCAGAAAGTGAAGGTCATTTGGAAAGTACCCAAGTCAGGAAGTCAATGTTAAGGTTGCATATGAAATCTCATCTCTGTCCTTTGTGCATATACATTAATTAATTACATAGCCATATTCTCATCTGAGATGCTTCATTATATTACTTCTTCTGCAACTTTATATCAGCATCTGGGAAATGTTTTCATTCCTATGTGCGTATGTTCTCTGTAAAATAGTATTCTTTTGTATTTTGGATTTTAAGTGCTCTTACACAGGCTCTGAATGATCTGCTGATTGCTTAAAAAATAATTACACAATCAAATACAAATCCGTCAAGTCTGTCAATTTTATCTTTCTGTCAGTTTCCAACAAAATGAGAACCCTGTTAATTGATTTGTAATGTAATTCTCCCCAAGATCACTTTGGAGACCAGAACAAACTGGGTGCAGAAGCCATTCATTTTGGTGCATCAAGGCTATTTTGAACCCGGAGCTGAAGAATGTTCAGAGTTCTTGGTCCTCACTGTGAACTCCTTGCAAGCCTGTTCAGTACCACTAGTTAATTACAAAGGACTCCATAAATTCTCTAAATCAGTCCAGATTAAGCACATACTCTGGAATAACTGAACTTATATGAGTATGCAGCAAAAAAAAAAGGCTACTAACTTCTGATAATTGTCTGTAGAATAAAAAATGTCCTATATGAGGAATGATTATTTACATATGTCTAAGTAGGTGACAACAGTTTTTATCACTGTAGTAATGCAGGCTCTTCTGAGTCAGCTGCTTAAAGCTGGATGAAGAGTTTCTTGTCTGAAAACACAAGCTTAAAGGGGTTGTTAGCTTGACAAAATGTAATTTCTGACTGCTTGGGACATGGAGTTTAAAACCTCTACACCTGTTAAGTACCATGTGATAGTTATCAAATCATAAACAAATAGGTTCATTGTCTTACATCTTTCCTGATTCATGAAATGGGTTTTAGCATACCTTGACTTGGAACATTGTCTTAATACAAACTTGGACTGTTCCTTTTAACTATGAGACTTCTTCTACCAGCCATCCAGTCAGTATTCCTGGATGTCTCCTCTTCAAGCCAAGAGCCATGCCTTGACTTATTGATACATGGAAAAAAAATTGGCTGGAAGCCCGTTGTAGTAAGATTGAAGGAGAAGAGGCAAAAGCTAACTGCCCCATATGGAGTATTTCATAACCCAAGCAGCCTTGAGAAACCTAGATGCCAAAATAATGAGCAACGAACCTTTAACTCTGCAAAGCTGCCTTTAAAACCAACTTTGGGCACTGCAGGCACATGCTGAGCAGGTGATCTCCTGCAGGATTTGTAACTGATGCCCCTTGTTTTATAGGACAGTGAGCATGGATCAAACCTGAGTAGGAAGATGGACAGTCTGGGCAGCAACCATTCCATCCCAAGTATGTCTGTGAGCACAGGCAGTCAGAGCAGCAGTGTGAGCAGCATGCAGGAGGTCCTGGATGAGAGCAGCCCTGAACTGGTCATGATGCATAGTGACGAGAGCACAATTAATTCCACTTCCTCCGTTGTTCATAAGAAGGTACGTTTTCTGGTGCTCTCCATAGCTTCCTGTGGTCCCTGCTATCGCTCACATTGGCTCCCCCATGCAGGGCCCAACGATCAGTGTGCTGTGGTCTTGTGCTGAGCCATCTGCTGAGAGCAGGAGCTGGTGCTGGGCTTGCCAAAAATCAGGTTCTGTGGTTTTTGTTTGGTTTTTGTTTTTTTTTTTTCTTTAAAAGCTAAACTGCGTTCAGATAAACTCTGAAAATCAAAAGAGGCTGATGAGAGGTAACGCTGTCAGTGTCTAGGCAGGAGTCACTCAAACTTACTGCATGCCTCCTTACCCAGCCCTGCATGTGCACTTCATCTCTGCTTCTAATGTCAGTCCTTGTTTCCTTGTGAATGATTTTACTGTATTATGTAGCATGGTGACAAGTGGTCCTAGCAGCTAAGCTAACCGTTTACCAGTCACAGTGTATGATTAAAATCTGCTTGCACTTGGATTTGCCCTCATGAGAAGTGGAAGTGTGCAGAACTTTGGACCTTTCCCACGAGGTATGTTTTGACTCAAGTTCCACTCGATGCTTTTCTTCTACTCTTTTGCTGCATGTTGTGATCTGCTGCCTTTTGTTTTCTTAGCACTAGATACCAAGCTAAAGTTGTCTGGCTGTAAGTCAGCATCTAAGATTGTTTGACTAAAATAGTTTTGGCTTGGCCTTAGCAGTGTCATTTGCTAGTGGGCAGTAAAATGTAGCTTTTTGGTGTGATTGCATTTGTAAAGAGCTTCAAGGGGTACATATGCCTTTTGCTGGAGGAGCTAAAGCATTACAGCAGTGTGGAAAGTATGAATTTCTCATTTGTAAGGTTACAGCAAAGCCTGGTTCTAACTAACTAAATATTTGTAAGCAGTTTTTCCCCCTGAAATACAGTGTTTGTGTAATTGGATATTGAAGTGTTTACAAAAGGGACCTCTGAAAAAAATGTTGTCTTCAACAAAAGATTGCCTCACATATTTAAAGATACTGGCAGATAAGTTGCACAGGTGTTGGGGTTTACATCTTTCTCAAAGGCATTTGCAATAGCACCTTTAGAGAAAATTTTATTTTCACCTTTCTGAAAGAACAGTGTTAGGTACAAAATGCCAGCCCGAGGAACCATCCTGAATGAAAAGCAATGCAACTGATTTCATGTTCTATGTGATTATATTTGGAGCTTTTTCTCATTTTCTGTAGGATTCAGAAATGTGTATTAATTTTGATTTCAAATTACTAAATGGACATATTTGTATAGGTATTAAAATAGAAGTTTGAGAGGTGGATTTAGGCAGTAGTCGTGTGTTATAATGTTACTGACTGATCAGTGTCATTGCAGTTGAAAACAAAATGTGAGCTGCTCCCATCAGACATAAATTACATGTGTGAAAGAAGCAGAGTTCCTGCTTGGTTTGAGAGTAACATTTTAGTTTACAGTGATTGTGTGGCACTTCCGAAGTACAAGAAGATTTCTGAGGTTGTGAATTCAGTCCCCTTAGACTTCTGCATAGCTGTTGTTTTCTTGAAGATTGACATTCAGTTGAGTAGAATGTGTAAGCATGACATCATATGGAAGGTTTTGTTATCTGGTTCGGAAAAACAGGGGCTCTGGCACACTTGTAACTGAAATAGTGTAACAGAAATCACCTGTAGGTCACTTAAATCGGGTGGTTTAGTGTAATTTTGGAAGCACAAAAATCAGATCTTCACTGATGTTCAAAAAACAAAGTTAACAAAGTATTTGTATTGTTAGCAGTAGTATTGTTAACGACAGGCTGCTCCGTGCAGTGGAGTGGGTATCTTCTCAACTGGCAAATGTTACCTTCTGCTATATGGTGAATTTTGTGTAGCAGGACACATGCCAGTCTGCCAAGGTATTGTTTTAATTTAGTACATGATTTTTTTTATTCTCATTTACTTTGAAGAATGCAATTTTCAATAGAAAATTTTCACATATATATTATGTGTCTATTAATACACGTGAAAGGACTAACATTAGAACTGGACATTTCAGGGAGTTTACATACACCTACATCCCACTCCATTTTCAAGGTGAAGTTCCTTATTCTGAAGAAACTTCAATTGGTCTGTGCACTGGCTTTAATTGTTTCTATAAACTAATGAAGCTGATCTGCACAACTTGGTTGTGTTCTAGCAGGTGAGAAGTAGGGAGTGCTGAGTTTGGTAACACTCTGGAGCCTAATCACAAACAAAATGGAAAGAACCTGGGAGTCCAAGTTTAAATTAAGCTTTTGGTTTGCATTTAATCAGTCTTTAAAGACTAAAAAGAAAATACTGATGAAAATAATTAGCCAGCTGTCTCCATTACGTGGGCATAGGGTCACATACAAGCTTGTTTTGACGTGGGTCAAATCAAAGTGGGGTGTAAAATGATGGTATTTCACAAATGTGTTAACTAACAACCTCTGGGTGTACCAGGCTGTGTAAAGTGACCAAGATGGCAGAGTTGCCTAGGCTGTTGGTATTTTTGAAGGCTCTAAGTGTCAGAGGCCTTTTGATTTTTCTTTGGACCACAGCCCCAGCAAGTCATGTGCAATTGTAAAATGAAGGATGAAAAAGTCTGTGGTCATATTCAAAATACAGTTCCCAACCTTCAGTGCTTCAGACTGCTACTTGGTGTGAAGAGCCAAGCTGGGGTGGCCTTTATTTGGTGTAAATCAGGAGCAGACCTCAGGTTCTCACTGCATCACCTGTGTAGCACTAGGCTAAGAAAAGCTTTGAGCATCCCCATCAAGCACTCCTAGCATCCATACTGAGACCAGCTACTCTGAGAGAGACAAAGCTAAGAAACAGGCTGATGTAGTAAAAGTACAATTATGTTTTTGAACAGCTGCTAGCTGACTGTACCTTCCAAACATGTTTTATGGTCACAGGTTAAGTGAAATGACCTGCTTCTGATCTGGTTAATTTTCACTGGCTATACTAGTTCATATTAGCAGAGATGCTTGGATTTTGCCCGATGGAGAATAGCATTTGTGGTAAATCCTCCATGAAAAGCAGGCACAGCCTCACTCCTTCCACAGTACAGCAGCTTTGGGGCAGCAGTAGAGCTCCATGTTTCTAAACTTGTGCTTAGAACAAAGGTGACTCCCACCTATCAGCAGAGTAGAACTTGTAGATTAAAAAAAAAAAATCACTGTTCAGGAAGAAAATAATAATAAAAAGCTATAATTGAATGAGTAGTTTTTTATATAACGTAGTTTATAGCTGTGTCCCAAACTTGTGAGAGGAAGAAAATTGCAATGATGTCTGCTACTCAGGCAGGAAGCCTGCATCCTCCCTTCCTGGGATCTCAGTCCATCCTAAGGATCAAAGACTGCTTCCTCAGGAGGATGCCTTAATCACCAGCAAATTCTTTATGGGAAATCCAGATGTCCAGCTTGGATGAGCTGTCCTGCCAAGAACTTCTTCTTTGCCCCTTTGCAGGTTTCAGATTACTGACATCCTCCATGTAAGTCAGAATATGATCAGTGCAAGAGTGATGCACAAAGTGTGATTTTTTTTTTTATTATTATTATTATTTTTTTTTTTTTCTAACCATTCTCTTTTGAAGACAGTTAACAATAACCATACTTCTCCATCCAAGGATCATCTTGCCTATGGACACGCATTATGGTGTCTGTCTCCTGTTGGGAGCTAACTCAGTTGTTCAGCTGTATAGGCTGAGAACTGAAGAGTAAATGACAGCTCTAATGCAAACCCAATTGCATCTGAGAGCACCAAAAAAAAGACAAAATGAGGCAGGGTGTTAAACTCTAAATACTCTGTGCTTCAAAGACATGTAACCTAGATTTTGAAAGCAGATAGGTATCAGTTAAGTCATCTTAAAATGAGGATGAAAGTTTTGGCTCCCTAAGAAATTAGCCATCAGTTGATGCATCATCGGTAGTTTGTCATCTGCTTTGGTTCAGCTGCTGGTATCTGTCAGTGTGTGTACAGGTGGCTTCCCAGAAATTGTTGTCCTAAATGAATATGCCAAGGTGTAGGATTTAGAATACTCCCACATGGTACTATGTTATTTCTATATAATTTTGTAATAGCAGAAAAGGTTGTTCTCTTTTTAATCTAAACAAAAAGCCAGTATAGTGTTTTTGTTCAACTGCAATATAAAGTTCTCGCTGTTACTTACTTCAGCCTGTAAATCATCAGTACTTATGAAGGTGAAACTTGGGCAATAAAAATGTCAGAGATATCTTCCGATTAAAATCTAGTTTATAACAAAAGGATGAAAAGAGGTTGTTCATAGTTGATCATCATCATTGCCCAATGTCTGTAATAAAAACATACTTTGTAATACCTGTTGCAAATGGAGTGACTTTCCAAATCCATTAAATTAACCTGTACACACCACCTATCACTGCCACGATTAATCTGCAGCATTCC